GAGAAAAAGTTGGTGTTTTAAAATGCAAATTTTACTTTCATTTCAAAAATAAAATAGAAAGTTAGGGAAATTGACAGTTCAGCATTTAATATTCCTAGATTCAGCAGAGCAAGATGCTGTATGAATAAATATTTGCAACATCCAAATTGGTTTACCTTTACTCCAGACAATTCTGTGTTCTCCTTTAAAGTCTCCTGCTGTAAAGTTTTCAACTTGTTCAGCTCTTGAGTAAGCGAGGTTATCTCTTTAATTTTTTGTTTCATTTGCTCCTCCACAGCTGAATACTCAGTATCCTTGGCTTGCATAAGATCCTGAAACACAATGAAACAAGGAACAGACTCAGATAATGTCAAAACTGCAGCTTAAGAAAGCACAAGGCACTAAAACAACTCCATGGCTCAATTAAAAAAAACATACCTACCTGCAATTTGGCTTGATGTGCACTTTGCATGTCTTCGGTATTTTTTAAGTTTTGCTCAAGCTCAGATTTCTATGAGGAGAAACAATTTGTGAATTCTGATGTGCAAATGTACTACTTAAAAATTCAATTCATCTGAAGAGGATATAATCTGGTTTCCCTGACCAGCAATGAAAATGCTAAAGAAAATAAACTATCACAACTTTACCATATCTTACCAGGTTTTGTACCATTTTATCTGTAGCTAAGGTCTGATCTTGGTGGGATTTCTTTATCTCCAGCACATTTTTATCATGTTGCTCCTGACAGAAGATAAATCAAATTCAAAGACAAAAGTAACCTTGAGTTCCCTACTTTATCTACTTTTTCATAATTTACTCATTTATCTCAACACAGCATCGGATCTAAGTTTTTTTTACACAAGCTATAAATGGGCAGATGTCAGAGCTGGCTAAGCCAGCTGATATTTCTAATTTGAACTGAGAACCATACTTATCCTGCCGAATGAAACAGCCCAGTTGCCTAAATTGCATGAAAAGAACCTGTATTCCCCCCCTAGTTAAACAGTTGAATGTATTCACTGACTGTTAGAGAACACCAGGCCTGTTTTACTCTTCTAAACCCATTACTGTTCAAAGGTGAGTTAAATATAAATGACACTTATGCACTTTTAAGGTAGAACTCATATTTCAATAGTAGGCTGCACTCTCTACTGGTTTATTAGCATAATGACCAATGTAGAATGTTGAGGGAACACAAAACTTTTCAAGTGTTCTCTTAACATTCCAAGTGCTCATTACGCTGGTAAATCAATAGAAAATGCAGTCTATTCCTTTTATAAAATAACTATGGGTTTACCAGTGCAATGAATGAAAGGTTTTTGACCAATCAGGGAGGTTGTAGTATTTTAGTTATTTTATAAAATATCATAACTGGCCAATCAGGGGGCTTATAGTATCTCAGTTATTGTATGAAACAGCATAACTAGGCCCACCTTTGCCTGTGCAAGATCTTCTGTCAGCCTGCCAATCTGGACTTGAGCTTCAGCTGAGGAAGATTTCAATTTATCCAAAGTCCTAGAGAGAAAACATTCTGATCTAAACCACTTCACCACAAAAAAATTATGTATATTTTTTATACGCAGTTTGCTCAAAAATTCATTCCAAAATAAAATAAGAACTGATTTCCAAGATGGATACATGCAAGGGCAGGGAAGGTGAATGGCAAGTGAATCAAAATTACAACAGATATTCCAGTGAACATCACTCAGAAAAACTGGAGATTACAAACCAGAAATATTGTTAAAAGTATTAAGTATGTGCCCAGCACTGGTAAAACTAACATTTATAACTTCCATGTTTCTGATGTAGCCAAGCAAGTACAGAGACAGGCCAAAATAATTCATCCAAGTATGCAACAGCAAATGAAAGTGCTCTAGAAATTCTGATGTGGTGCTAAAAAGGCTGACATATTTTGACTGAATGTTTGACCAAACAACAAACACAAACAGACAGAAGGACTGACATACAGAGAGTCTGACGGATTGACGCTTAAAAGGGGTCAGTTTCCAAAGAAATAACGGGGGTGGCCGTGAAGCAATTTCTTCCTATTCCTATGTTATCCAAATATTGCCAATTAGAAAGGTAAACCAAATACAAAAAATGATATTATAGTGGAAACTGTTTGATTAAACGCCGCATCCTCTAAAATAATATCGGAAGAGATGTAAGGAGAATTAGTTTTGCAATCTTAAAAGTGAAAGGGTTAAATGAATGACAATAAATTAACAGAATAACTGATTCAGTGATTGTTTTAAGTGCATCTGAAAGCCTGCATTTATCATTTTTTTCCACCAAATGCTTTCTGAACAAACTTATAACTAACAAAAACTGGCCTTGAGCTGACTTGGATAAACACGTCTCAGTATATGCAGTGCATTTGTGATCTGATGTAATAATTTTCTACAGAAATAAGCAGATACATTTCTGTTGAAAAGAGAAGTTTTACTTTGCTTCATATTGAAAAACTTTAAAGTTTTTGAAAAGGAAATAGGACAAACATAGCAGACAGGTACTGCATACCACAATGACATCACAAAACTGAAATACACCAAACAAAACAACTTGGCACTGCAGGCAATCTTAAACTTTTGGACAAAATGGGATGGAAACTAGACTCTTGGCAAGCTGTGAAGAGCAAATTCTTCACATGCCTTAGGTAAGAGATCCAGTCTGGTTTGCGAGCCGACATGTTACCTGTCCTTTTCTCTGAGTTGTTCATTGAGGTAAACCAGCTTTTGTGAACTATCACCGGAATTCTTTGCCAATTCAGCAATTTGGGACTCCTGTAGGAGAATTTGAAATGAAACACTCAGGTGATATTTAATTTTGCTAATTAACTGTTTGAAAATAGTTCTGGCTTTTCATATTACTCCTTCAGAAGTGTCATTTCAACAGAAAAAAATGTTTAATCGCAAGCAGAAAACAACAAAGATTGCACGATAAACAAAATATTTTCTTTCTCCATCTGAGTGGGTTGTAGCTCTCAGCATTTGAATCTGAAGAGACACAGAAACCTACATAATTTAAAGAACAGAGTTCTTTAAAAGCACAAGAAAGAACTGAATTTGAATTCCTACTAAACCAAAGTGGTTTGCTTACTGTGGTGAGACCACACAAAGGAGTACAACCCACACCTAGTTCCTAGATTTTCTGGGTGAAAAGTGGGCCATTATGAAGTGATCATAAATTATGCATTACAAGGTTGACGAAGTCATAAAGTGACTTATTGTTGCTACATTAGAACTTCACAAGGTGCAGAATTAGAAAACACAAATATAGTGTAACATTGTTATAAAATGCTGGGCACTTCATTAAAAGACAAATTAAAAGACTTATTAAAAATTTGATGCAATGAATTTAAGAATACCACTTTTTAACCATTTAACTTTCAGAAGTGATTAACATGCAAGTTCTCCCTATAATATCCAAACATTATCTAACAAACTGGTAAATGTTATTTTTATCCATAACCAAATTCTCATAACTAATTTAAAGGGAGATTTGTAGCAGCTGGAAGGGAGAATTAACAATCAGATCTTGAATTCAAAGGGTTGAATTTACAAAAGAACCCAGCCATCAGCAGAGGGATATCAGGTATTGTAAACTTAATTAATATGGCCACTTCTGAATCAAGAAAGACTGTGGACAAACTGGAAAGATTTTGATGACTCGATAACTTCCATAACAATAGACTGGCCATTTGTTTTCAAAAACTTACAAGACCTGAATATTGTACATATAAAATCAGGCTGAACTCTCTTGATACAAAACTCCTGTGTGTGAGCCCTTTTCATCAGCCCAGAAATGATCAACATGTAGCTTCTCTCAATAATACCCATACACTATCCAGCAAACAGGTAATGAGAATACTTAAACTAATTGACACCAGACTCTTGTAACTGATTAACAAGGAAATATGTAGCAGCTACAGGAAGAACCAACAGTAACATATTGGAGCGAACCAAATACAAGGGAACCAATGGTGATAAAAAGGTTCTCCACAAAATAGGAAGAACAAGGACAAAAACGTGGGGAACTCAAAAAGGTATTGAGTGCCTTTTCATGTGGCACAGATTAATTCCATGATAAAAACGTATAAACTTTAATAACAGAAATAATACTTTGGAGAAACCTTAACCCTCTAACTCCTAGAAGTGATTAACAAATAATTCGTCCTTATAATATTCATGCACTGTACAGCAAACAGGTCAATGGTAATGAGGTAATGAGAATACTCAAATATATCAGGTAAAAGTTGTCATCTGGATCTAACACCAAGTTCTCGTAACTTATTTACAAGGAAATGATTAGCAGCTGGAGGGGAGAATCAACAATCAGATCTTGGGAGTTAAAAGTTTAATCCATATCAAATGAACAGAATATTGCAGGGGTTCTTTGGTGACATGATAACTATAGCAATCTCATCCCAAAGCATTATGAGAGAAAACAGACAGCTGCAAGTTACAAAAACAGCCTAGAAAAGAAGTTAATTAAAAGTAATAGAAAGAAATTTGACAGGAACCTAAAGATATACAAACATAACACTCTAAAACATTTCCCTCAAGCACCCAAGCCATATTACATCGCAGTGGTATTACCATCAATACTACATGTAGAATCAAAAGAGAATGCAATCAAATGTATACTAACCAATTTAGCTTTGTCTGCAGCAAGATTCTCTGATCTGACTTCACTTAAATGAAGCTGTTTTTGAAGTTCTTTACAACCATGAAGAAGAAGACAAATAAACATTATTTGCATGGTTCATTCCACACCCCAACACTGGCAGCTGCTTATGAAAAAAGCTATTGAAATCCCTGTAATACCATGCTCAATTCCCTCTGGCACCTCTCACATTGGTTGAAATTTACTTCAAATATTTCTTGAGTATTCAGTGTCCTAAAATTTACCCAGTAGTGTTATGTACACCAACACAACATTTTTCGCCTTTTTCTATTTTCTGCTCTAGATAAAAATATCTAAATTTATCATTATTTACCAAGTGTTGTGTCCTTGATCACTTGAAGCTCACTGCATAGGGAAGAAAATTCATCTTCCTTGTGGTGGAGCTTTTCTGTAAGATCTACAATTTGATTTGAAGATATGAGAAAATGCTGACCCGAGACCTTGGAAATAAATAAAGATTTCACATTTACCTACACTGGATGGGTTTGCCCTTTTCCAATGTACCTATCACTTCCCATACATATGTTGGGAAACATACTTCACTTTTGATATTTAATAAAAAAAAATAAAAAGAATAAAAAAAAGAAGCACTTCTTACCGTTGATCTCTTTTTGCAAAGTTTCATTCTCTTCCTTTGACCTCACAAGTTCTGATTTCTGCAACAAAAATAATGTTGTCAAAACAAACCGATATCTGTCTTCTTGTTCATCCACAGAAAGAAATTGGCCAACATTTACTTAACAAGCAATCAGAGGAGTATTTTTCACAGCTTCCACTTTTGGTGCTCAAGAACACTGTTTACTTAGAAGGCTAAATGACACAAAGATGATTTCTGTTTAAAGAATTATTTAGGTACATTTATGCACAAATCTAACCACACTGTTTTTAAAACATATTACACTATACTGGGCATATGATAATTTATAAGATGAAACAAAAGCTACACTTACCAGGATTTTAATCTCACTATCAAGACCTGTCTTGATCTTAGCATGTTCCTCTATATCCTTTGCCAAAGCACTGATCCTTTCAGAATTCTCTCTGAGCTGCTGTTCTCTTATGCTGGCATCACCGGAATGCTCCTCTTGCTTTGCAAACAGTGTTGCCTCCAGTTCTCTGATCTTGCTATCAGAATCACTGACTGATGTCCGCAAATTTGAAGCTAAAGTATTTGATTCAGACAAAGCACTCTCTAATTCTGTAATTTTTGATAATGCTGTGCTTTTTTCAGTCTGGAAAAAAAAAATGTGGAAACAGATCATCAACAAATGCATGCAAGTGTATCATAGGCCACTTAACCATATTCCACATGGAGCCATTTTCAATTGGGTGTCAAAAGCAGTTCTGGATTGCATTGGTCTTGCTTTACTGCTCTCAGTGATTGGTCCAAAAATCTTGCACCACTATTTCAATCAATCAGAACCAAACCTAAAACCAGTCATAACTTTGTTACCTGCATTTTCCCAGTTTTTACTTGTTTTTACTTTGAGCTCTCAATGGCTACTCTGTGTATTTTCCTTTCCTCCGATAGGCTGATGCAATTACTCTGGGTTTGGTTTTTATGACACTCAATAGAAGATTGCTCTGAACATAACTCCAACATTATTTCAACATAAGTTCACAACTGTGAAAGAATAAACCATACCTGTGTTGTTTCGAGCTCTTCCTTTAGTCTGGAAAGTGAGGCAACCTTTTCTTTTAGTTCAATCTCAAGTGTTTCAATTTCTTTCTGCTCAATCTGACAACCAGAAAAATTCAATATATGATTTTACAGAACTCTGCATAAGATGATATCATTCATGATAAAATCAGTCCTGATAAAACTAAAAGACATAAATGTTTTAAGGCAGGTAACTTGGAGGGCACTACTTTCATGGAAGCTTTTAAGACCTAGTAAGCATTACAAATTTCTGAGACAACAGCTCTCAGACTTTCTCTTTTTCAGGCCTGGTGTTTCTTTGTAAGAGCACAGCTTTGCTAACATACATGACAAGTATATCAGAACCTCAGATGTTCTATGATTGTGACTACTGGTAATCACCTTTCTAAAACTTCAAGGGAAAGGCAAAAAAAGGATTCTGAAAATTTCTCAGCAAATACCATGTTTAAATCACAAAGAAGGTGATATACCTTAAGTTCATCTCCAAGAGTAATCTCCTCTT